TCAGGGTAGCACTGACCAGATCCAGACATCCGTTGTTACAGGAAACCGAGACTTCTGCATCTCTACGATTAGTATGACTATTACAGTTATATGAAGGAGGTTCATGTTAGTGGGACGGGTGATTCAGCTCTGGATTCACTTTGGAAAGTAATGTGATCTTTAATGCAGTGGTCCTGTTGCTAGTTTCTGTGTAAATTTCGGGCCGCATTAAGTTTTAATATGTTTAAATGGTTTCCTTAGGGTTTTCTGTGTGAATTAGAGAATTGTAAACTTGGGATTTGTATTTGCGTTAAAGAAAAAAAAAGTTCATTGTTGTGAAGAACCTTGGCGTGTTCGTTCACATGATTTCACTAAACATTAAAGACATTCAATTGATTTGGCATAGAATAGAACAATGCTGATACTGAACGGCAATTATAAAAAGCATCTCCAAAAATATATGAAGACTCGTAAAACCATGAAAGAACAATACCAAAATATTTAAATTATGCGTCCAAATAGTGCGAAAAGGCACTGTATGAGGTCAACTAGGATATAATTAAAAAATATTTTGAAGAATATTTGTTTTTATTTGATTTTTAGTGTCATCTATATTTAAAAAGAAAAAAAAATATAGTCAAGCAATTTTGATTTTAGTTTAAGTATTTTTGAGGGATTTAAAAACAAATCAAGTTTTTTTTTCTCGATATAGTCCTTATTTTAAGGTGAATCGCTGTGTTATCCTTATTCTCAGAACCACTTCGAAACTTTAAGTGCACAAATACCAGCTTCTACGACACGTGCAATATTCAAATTGTTACTCCTCGTTTGCTGCACTGCAGCATACATGAAGTACCAATTTCAGGTGAAACGGGGCACTGATTTCCGAGATTTGTGTAATTGTAAATTCGAAGCGGATGTGCATGTATAGCCTACGTGGCGGCCATTTGTGGACTCTACAAGGAATCACCTTCGAAATTTTCCAAGTAGTCGCCATAATATGATCATCATTAGATATCATTGAATTTCTCTATAATAGGCGAAACAGTCATTTAGACAAACCAATTTATAAAAGACCCGACAAAGTCTATAAATGCTTGCGATTTTGTGTATGACATTTCTACTGCATTTTTACTTTTTTTGCAATTAGCGGTTTCATTTGTGTATTACTTAAATTCTCTGATTTCGGTTGAGACTAAAACGTCGAAATGGAATAATAATCCTTTGTTACGCCAATTTCTAATACAGGGTGGCCAGTTAATCTTCATTTCTAAATTCCCGGTTGTTTTTACGGAAATAAAATCTTAATAAATTCCCGGTTTTATCATTCAGTTAAAAGCTAAAGCGTTCAATGATCATATTTTTGTAAATCATGACCACGTGCAAATTTTCAAAGCTATTCAAAGATATTTGTAAACTACATGAAGCATTTTTCTTTAGAACTTTCACGAACATTCAAGTATCTGGGAGTCATTTTTGACAGTAAACTTAACTGGAATTCACATATAGAGCAGGTTGTTAATAAGGCAATAAATGTCCAATAATAATAAGTAAGAAAGTTTTTAAGTAAGAAAACTTTTGGTAGGAAATGGGGCCTAAAACCAAAAATGATCCACTTGATTTATTTGACGATTGTAAGACCCAGAATATCCTACGTACTATTGGTTTGGCGGCCGAAAACTAATGAAAAATCGGCTCAGAAGAAGCTGGGGAGACTGCAAAGACTTGCTACTCTCTCAATAAATGGTGCGATGAACAGCACACCGAGTATGACACTAGATGCTCTACTTTATCTGCTTCCGTTGCATCAATTTATCCAATTAAAAGCTGAAAGGAGTGCTTTAAGGGTTCAACGAACAACGTACTTCCTTGAAGGTGATCTTACAGGAACCTTAGCATTTTAAAACTGTTTGATATTGATTATCTCGTATTAAAAAAATAAGACTGGATGGAGAAAAAATATAATTTCGATCGTTTAAACAATGCAGCAGAATTTGATCGTAATGTTTGGGAAAGTGGGGGACCAAAAATCAGACCAGGTTCAACTGTTTTTTATACAAACGGTTCAAGATTGAACAATCGTGTAGGAGCAGGGGTAACTGGTCCAGGGATAGATATCTCAATATCCTTGGGTTACTGGCCAACCGTGTTCCAAGCAGAAATTCAAGCAATTCTTGAATGCTCTGTAATGTGCTTGCACAGAAATTATAAACATTCGAATATCTGCATTATGTCTGATAGACAAGCAGCATTAAATGCTTTAAAATCAGCAACATGCAATTCAAAACTCGTATGGGAATGTGCAATATCACTTCAGAAATTGGCTTGTCAAAACCAAGTAAACCTATATTGGATTCCTGGCCACTGTTCAATTCCACAGTGAATGGGAATGAAAAAGCCGACACGTTAGCCAGGCAAGGATCATCTCAGCAATTCATAGGACCAGAACCATTCTGTGGAGTTTCTGCTTGTTCTCTTAAAATGGCGATCAAGAAATGGGAAAAAATGACCAATTGGCACAACACTTCCATTGCTAGGCAGTCGAAACGGTTCATAATTCCGAACATTTCAATGACTAGCAAAATTCTTGAATTATCAAAGAAAGATCTCAGTGTCTATACTGGTTTGATAACAGGACATTGTCCATGTAAATATCATTTGAAGTTAATAGGAAAACTTCAAGAGGATATGTGTCGATTCTATAGAAAAGAAAGACTCTGAACACCCGCTATGCTCTTGTGCAGCAATCTTCAATAAAAGGCGTATTTTTCTGGGTAAGGGGCTGGCAGATCCCTTTGATATTTGGAATGCAGGTCCCAGTCAAGTAGTACATTTCATTCGAAATGTAATACCTGGCTGGGAAAATGCTTTTGATCGGTCTATATCGGTAGCTTCACAAAATAGTTATACGACATAACTGATAAAGCAATATAAAAATGGGGAGTATCAAAATAGATCAAAGTAATGGTCGCAGTGATGAATATACCCAACACGGAAAAAAAGCATTTTTTTTTAGTTGAAAGTATATTCAACTAAAACTTGATTTATCCAAAAATAGACCATTTATCTAACGGTAATGTTTTATTCCATCAGTCATCCCACAATTAAGCGTGAACTAATAATAATTATGAACCAATCAGCCCAGTGTGATAGCTAACTGAGAAGTGATTATATAAAAGAAACAAAAAGTTACTGTTATTTGCGATAACTTAGAAAAATCTAAATGCATAACTTTTTTAGGCTTCATGTTTCATGCCACTCAGACCTGATGTTTGCTCCAGCCTCGGATTTTACTGATAGAGACCTTTTTATGGTCATTAGGTCGAATACTTAGTCCAACCTCCAAACAAGGATTGAATGGATTACGAATTTGTTTTAGAATACGTAAGTTACGTTATCAATTAAATCTAGAGGCAATTTTTCGAGGACAGTTTGGGATTCAAGGCAATTTCTTAAATCCTGGGTTTTGATGCTTTAACATTTGATTAGAGTCTGTGTCATGGTCTACATATTTTAAATATGTGTAACTTATTGAAATCTTCGTAATCCTAAATTAAAAAAATAAAAGCAGAAGTGGAAATACAGTGAGCTCTTTACAACTTGATATTGAAGGAACCATCGAGCTGTACTATTATCAAACAGCAATCCCATACAGAATCACTATCCCACACATCAATTTTTGCTATGGTTCTATAATCCATATCCATTATGTGGACATCGGGTTGTGGAGAGTTGACTGTAATTTGGACCGCAGAAAAATATTCATGGTTGCAATCTTTAAAAAAAAATATACTGCAGAGAATACCAATGGAGTTTTTATGAAGGATTTAAAAGAAATTAGAAAAATTCTTAGGTGGATTTCTAAAAAAAAATTATGAAAAACATTCTAATAGAGCTCTGACCAACATTCCAAGATAATTTTAAGATAAAGACAAAAGAAATTCAGAAATGAATTCCAGAAAGAAAGTTATGAATTTAATTCCTATGTGAATTTAGGAAACATTTAATGGGAATCATGAGGAGAATGGCTTAATTTTAAGAAGGATTCCAAGATAATTCCCATTAGAGTTCATGTACAAGCAGAATTAAAAGGGTGTTCAGAGGATTATTGCAAAGGAATACTGAGTAAGCTTCAGAAAATAAATTGAAAGGAATTCTGAAAAAGATAAAGATATCAAAGGCATCGTATTCTAAGGATAGTTCTAACAGCTAATTGAAGGAAAAGAAAAGTTTAAAGACAATTCAGCAGATAATTCCAACGGATTTCTCATGAGTGTTTTGAGTTGAAAAAAAAAATTGAGAAGAATTTCAAAGCAACCTAATTCTTATAAAAGTTCTAAAGGATTTTTAAGAAGGGTTCCAAGGAAATGTTTAGGAGGGATTCAAGGTAGAGGTTCAATAGAACTTTCAGCGAATTTTAGGGAGAATTCCATGATAATTATTAATATGTAATATATGTAAATTAAAAATTACCCTCCGCAATGTTGAAGAGCAGAACACTAATAAACATAAACTACCAAGTTTATTATGAAAAATAGTTAACATTGATGCCATGTTTAGTCCAAAGAGTTGTAAAATTTTATAAGCGGATTTCGTGATACTAGAACAATGTTTCATATAAATGATGAACGAAATATTTTTCATATGTGAAATTATCATTTGCAACCATGTTTTGCAATAGTGATAAATTCGAAATATTTAAACATCGAGACCAACCAAATCAATCCTTAATCAATGCATACCTTGATCCTCAACCTTTAGCAAGCAGCCAATTTCCCAAAAAATTCGCCAAGCGTGTGTTAGCCATAAAATCGCTATGTTTTATCACTTTGAGAAAATCACCTTGAAGCGGGCCTGCAGTCCCACCGAAAGATCGAAGGTCAAGACCCAGATCATGTTCGCGGAAAACCGGTTCACCGCGCCGTCATCGCTCTTCTAAAACCATTGATTTTTTATTTTCGGCTAATAACCGTTTTCACTCAAGTCTCTCCCAATCTTGATTGTTTTCCCTTTCAACCTACCTTTCTAAAACGAATAATTTGGGCCTCGTTGCTGAGCTGCGCAAGCTCCAGTGTCCCCGTTTCTCGGCGGTGGCTGCTGCCCTGAAAATCCGGTATGCCGCGAGGCGTTTCTCCTATCGATTTATTGTGCAATGACGTCGTCGCGAGCAATAGAGCTATTGCCAAGAACTCCACCGTTGACGATCATCATTACTCATTGCAGGTCACAGCACAAAGCCATACACATGTATACATACACTGACATGAATATTACAATCACGAAGGTATCGTTTAAAAAAACAACACAAGAAGCCGCTCGCGATCGATTTCAGGCTCTTCAGCTTGTTTCCACTCGTTTTCTTCTTCGGTCAACCTTTTTGAGGTTATAATAAATAGCCACTTAACCATAACGCGCGTTGCACTGTTTGCGAAAAATGCGCATTGTCGCGGCGGCAAATGCTGAGAGAGTGCAACACTTTTTCGTTTTTTTCACTCTGGATTTGTAAGTAGAGGAGTACCCAAGCGAAATTTGACACTGACGATGGCTTCATAATACAGCACAAAATATCACAGCAAACTTGACATCCATAAGCCGAATTTTGCTGAATCAATCACTAGTTGTGACACATTCCGGATAATATACGTTTCATCACCATACGAAGAGCCATTGTTAACAGATATTCAACTCAAAATCATAAACACATCGATTTATTTCCAAGCAATGCCGCAAAAGGTAGCCACTCAAATGCATTTCTATGAAGCACTCGGCTATCCAGATTTGGTTTTTTGTAATCACTTGAAAGGATTCACACTAACACAAGCAGTAAGCCACTTCAATGTTGCTACTCAGGCCCTTTGCCGGAGCTCAAGGGATCCTTATCGATTCCGCGAATTGCGTCTGTCAGCAAACAACATAATTCCACTTTGATAAAGCGCTACACTAGATGGGTTCGCGCGCGCCCGCAAATTTGAACAAACCGATTATTGTCGACACAACAAGCAAACGAACATGAGAACCGGCTACCTCTGGCCCGTCCTGCACCATAAAGAAGACTGATTGTGGTGGGCTCTCCCGTCCGCAATCGCTGTGCAGCAATGGCTGTTGGGGATGCTTGGGGAGGCCCACCGAAGAGAGAGAGAGAGAGAGAGGGAGAGGAAAATAAAAAGTGTTGATTGAAAGCGGAGAATGGAGAACGGACGCTGAAGATCGCGAGAGAGATGACGGAGTTTTGATGGAGTTGTTTTGAAGTTTGACGCTCGGAATCACTGGCTTTTCTATCTTTGGTGGCCGAGATGCGAAGATATGCGCGATCAGAGATTAAGAAGAGAGGTGCAAAATATTTGATTAGGCCGAGTGAGAGCACTTTTGAGCAAACTATGAGAAAATCAGCGAAATGGGAGATAAGAAACCCGAGGATGGAGCCACAGATGGAAACAGATAAAATTAAGCGTGTTAAATGATAAATTATGAATCAGGTAATTTTCATCAACAATTCAAAACGTTAGATTCAAGTAAGTCGTCAGAAAAATGAAGAACTTCAAGATTGTGGTAATTTGTATCGTTAGGATGGTGATCCTATTTTCGTGTGTTGACTGATAGCATTATTTTTTAATGGAATTGGAATGAAATTACTATAATTTGATCTCTTAATCATGAAATCAGTAGCTACTGAGGTTAATACGCGATTATAGGCAATAGCGGATACTCATCATACATTGTATTGACTAGGATTGTTTAACAAGAACCCTCCAAAATCCCAGCAGAGGTCTGCCGAATTCCGATGAAATGACTAACCCCATCAATCTTCGGTGACCTAAGATCGCAATTCTATCATCATTAACTTCCCTCCAAGTTCCGCGTCTTGCAGGGACAGCGAAGCTGTAGCATCTCACATCGAGCTGGTAATGATCCAACTTCAACTTCAACTTCATCTTCTGACTGCACAATTGCAGAGCCGATCGCAAACAAAAAAAATAAAACTAACTTTAGTCTCGTTCGTATTCTGTTTTGATCCGTATTCGCGAGGGATCAGCTTCGAGATCGCGCACTTTTTCTTGACGGAATTCCATACGATCTTTTACCGCGACCCCTACTGGCAACGGGGGCTGACGAGACTGCTGCAGTATAATGATGATGATCTTTTCTTTTAACTCATCGATCTATTTTCTCTTTGACTCCACCGGACTTGCGGTCGGCTAGAAGCACAGCCAGTGGTGTGAATAAGATTGCTTACGAGGATGTTAGTACTCTTCTGCCGTTGGCTGTAAGCTATGGTGTCAAAAATGGCGTTGGCGGCGGGCGGCTACTTCACAGACAGACCCCAATTTATCGTCATTATTCAAGCGGTATGCTACAGTTTCGCAGAGGATCCACCACTTGCCACTATTATCTTCATTCACCACAAGTAATACGGTTGCTGAACGGTTCAAATGTAGAAATTATGAAGATCAAGGATCCACGCATAGACGCACGTACGAAGATTCTGATCGTGCGATCTATCGCTTTCAACCATCGTAGCAGCTTGACCAACCCGTTCGGACACGGATGATCAATTATCTATCATTCCCGTTAAAATGTCACTGGAAACTTGTTTGCATATGCGATGTGATGTTGAAAGATCACAATCTCTAAAAAGTGGCTGTCATCGTCTAGCACCATCGCCAACGGATGCCAATAATGCAACGAGAAGAAGATGAAGGCAAGTCACTGACTAGATGGCAGATATACTGGTCATCAGCACGCTTTGCGATCGTGTTACGTGTTCCACTTGGTAGGAGTTGTTTGCAAGCTCTACATATGCCCGATGTGATCATACATAAAGGCATGTGCAACAATGGACGAATGGGTAAATGTTTTGTTTCGAACGGACATAAATCTTGAACGGTTTGATTGGGCACAAGCGTATGCACCGACGACATGTTGGTTAGTGTGCTGGGTTTCCGTCGTGTTTTAAGCAGTGGTGTTGCAAGGAAATCGATGTTTCTTAACAATCAGTATGTTCTACATGGAGATTTCAAATTGAGTTGATGAGAAGAACGACGAGGATTGGATGCGATGGCCAGGCCTAAGATTTTAGGGGCAAGTCCAGATGTTACCAAGGATATTCCCGAAGACCAGGACGGGCACAAAAAGCCTTCAGGACACTAGAAGAAAACAAGGAGAGGCTTTAAAGGCATGTCCAGAGTCAGATATTAACCTAGCTGAAGGCCGCGGTTAAGATTACAGTCTTCGGCCAAATTCATGCTTTGGTTAGCATTATAAATGTGGAAGTACTTCAGAAAACACTAAGTTGAGAGATTAAGCTCGTGTAAAACGACGTGATTGGTAAGGTAATGTTGTGTAAAACCATAAAATTCAGGAAGAAGAAGAACAAAGTTATTGGAAACGGCTTGTTCGAATCTTACAAACTGGTTTATATTCAACAAGTAGCAATACGAAAAACACGATTCGGATTCACGCACCCATAAGTAAGAACACCCGCTAAACTTCGTGAGTAAACTTTCTTCATCAAACAAGATCATTTTATGAAACCATCCTAAAGTTGAATAGGTTCTATGTCCTATTGATTCGCTTTCTATCGATATTTTCGTACACACTTAGTTTTCGTTGCCCTTGCAATGTTTTTTTCTGAAATCTCAGCAACAGTGATGTTTGGTTGATGAGTCTCGGAAAATGCTTTGCTGAATCTCAGCAAACAACGTCTCAACGTCATTCTCAGTAAAATGGACTGCCAAGCACTCGACTGAGCAAATCTCGGCAAAAATTGCAAAAAAGCTAAGTGTGTACAGTCTATAATTTAATCATTGAATTCGTGAGAAAACCGTGCTAGATAAAGCTAATCTCATATGAGGGTGTTAGAAGGAAAGGGGTGTAAGTAACTTTCTCTTTTGATAGCCACAGCTTTTTAAACAGATTTTGCGTTATTTCTGCCACATAGTTTGATAAAAGAGGTTCTCATCTAGCATCCAGAATGGCACACGAATTGAGGAATGTGTTTGCAGCTGAATTATTAACGAAAGAAATAGTCCATGAAGAGAATCGATCAAAGTCACTTACACCCCGTTCCTTCTAACCCCCTCATATAAACTATAATATATTTACCATAAAACTATTCTTCGCTTGCTACTGACCTGATGTAAACAGGACATATGACAAAAAATGCACTGATACATCATAATCGAAAAGCTGTCATAAGGGCTGTTCATAAACTACGTAGACACATTTTAAGAGGTTTTAGAGACTCCCCCTCCTCCACCGTGTAGATAATTGTGCATACAATTTTTTGAAAATGTACATGTCCCTTAGACACTTTCTTAGCACCCACGTGGCTTATGAATAGTCTCTTAGCACACAGAAAACAAGAGAATCATACGTTATTTTTTATTTCTAAATTGATTTACCTTTTTTTCTTTTAGCCCATAGACCGAATTTGAAATCTTGCAATAGTGTTGTGTTTTTAACAAAATAAAAACAATTTACACTTTATCAAATCCCACGGTACATAGGATTTGATAAAGTGTCACAATAGTTTATATTTTTTTAAAAACGCAACACTATTTCTTGATTCCAAATTCAGTTGTCATCATGAACGTTTATATCAAAATACCAAATACCGAAATAACAGGTAGTTAGCGCCTAGAGCATTAGGTTGGTGAGATCCAAATATCAATTTTTTTAGATATTTGAGATAGACTCGCACAATGTTGAACAATGATGTGGAACTATTCATATGAAGTAACTTTGCTAAAGAAGGAAATTTTTTATTTCTAATGGTCCATGTTTTATACTGAGCTATTGTGTGATTGGAATCGCTGGAAGAGGATGGGCTCGGAATGATCGTCGGTTTTTCGGTGAATATCGTGGAGAATGATTTGGGCCCGTCTGCCATATGCAGAACGTATACATTTTGTATATGTTGGAAGAGTTCCGGGCCGTTTCTGCCATTTCAGAATCAACCCAACAAACAATTTTAGCTGTAGCTTAGCTTATACAGGCAAACATTAGCTGCATAAGGCAAATTTTGGCTGTATAAGCTAATCTGCAGCTAAAATTGTTTGTTGGGAAGAGCATTTTGAATTCATAATGTATGAATCCACAGCATTGGACAACAATCATCGTTGGATTAGGTGAGTTTATTTCAGTTGAAGAACGTTCGTTATACATTTGTTGTCAGTGTTCTTGATTTCTTGATATTGTGAGTTTTTGTTATTGGCCTTTGGCTGATCGGAATGTGTGATTGGGATTGTTTCTGGCCAGGAGATAAAGGCCATTATATGGAAGTATCGTTATACATATCAGATTGTTGTGCAGCTTTAGAATTAACAGCACAACATTTGTGACACATATGCTGCCATTGGATCTATTGATCAGGGTGGCCAGTGACTTTTCATTTTGAAATTCCCGGTTATTTCCCGGTTTTCCCGGATCAAATCATAGAAATTTCCCGGTTGTTAATGTTCAACAAAAAACGAAATTGTACGCATTTTTTAAAACGTGGCCAACTGTAAAATTTCGGAGGTTATTTGTGTGAAAAATAAAGCAAAATTAAAGAAAGTATTTTCTAAAGCTAAAGGAAAAATTCAACCCTATGAGTCACTTTATGTATTCAAAACAATTGATTGATGTTTCGAGATACTTTTTAAAATTAAATTCTACCACTTTTTATGCTCGATACATCTTTTGATTTCAAAGCCCTAGAATTTATCGTGTAACAGAGATTAACGTCACTAGGAAAAATGCTATCTGGATGAATAGGTTATAAGACAGAATTGTGAAGAATAAGAGATTTAGTTAGGGATATCGGAAAAAGAAAATTTGTCTTCACTCCGTTGTCTACACTAACATAAATATTAATTTTACAGAACTCGCGCTGATGTACAAACTAACACTCGAAAAAAAAAATGTAAAACCTACTGACGTTGGAACTCGCTCAACGTGAAAGTAAAAATGGTTCATGAAATTTAATACCCACTTCCAATTGACCAATACTTGAAAAAAAAATAACTGAAAGGTTATTTACAAAATGGATAAAAAAA